TTTTTGTTTATGGAATATTTTGACCTTGAATAAATGTCCACAACTTACTATTTTAAATAAACTGCTCTTATGATTTAAAATTAATGACTTTCTTTGAGTAAATCAAAAAACTTTGTACTGGGAAAGTTATTTAGTAACAGAACTTAGTAGGTTAAGATATATATATGTTGCTTTTCTATGGAACCTAATACAACCGATTTTAGTTACTGAATTTAACAATCCTTATTAATTATCCAAAGATTAATATTCATGAGATAAATTACATCAGAAAATGTTCAGCTTTTCAATTCTTTAGTTACTGTCCTGGGAAGACACAATAATAGGAATCTATAAAGGAAAAAAAAACTTGAAAAGCAGACACTTCAGCTCAGGAATTTACAGTTAGTACCTGCAATAGAGACAGTCCACTGTCCAAGGATGATTTTAAGGCATCACTATTTCAGGGTCTTCAGACCTTTAGTCTTTGGATCCTTGTTTGGAAAATAAACAGATAATGCATAACAAAAGTTTGGTACTTTAACATCTCTCTGTTAGATGAAGTTTTGCTAATCATCCTATATCAACAGTAAGATGTTGGAGATAACAGTTGCCAAAAACTATTATGATTTGAGTGTTGGTTTGCGTACCTCATTTGTAAACTCTTAAGGACATTTTCCAAATAAGAGTATTGAAGAAATTCTGCTCTCAAAAAGTTTTTAAAAGTATGCAATTACTAAACAGGACACAAATAAAACCTTACAAGCTTTTTTAATTAAGTAGAAATTTAGTCAACCAGAAGTTCCATTGTAAAAATTTTAAGTTTCTTCTGGAAATTTCAATGAACTTTTTCATTGCCTTTATAAAACTTTCATAGCATTTGTGATAATTATGTATAAGAAGTCAGAAGCTCTTTAACAATCAGATAACTCAGGATTTTTTTCCTCTATTATCTAGTACAGTTTTCTCTATAAAACATACAGCAAAATCTTGGCTAATTCCATTTTTTCAGCTTTTTGTTGTTAGTGCAGTTTTTCCTAAAAGACAGGGTTATCCTTTAAATGCTAGTAAGTCCTAGTAAATCCTTTAAAAATGGAATATGGTCAGTGTTTTCCTGAACTTTCAGTCTTGTGCTGAAAATGAAGTTATAATATGAAACATGGCTAAATGCGTACTGACCCTAAGAAGTGGCTCTGAAATTCCCTTTCTTGTGAGAGGTCCATAATAATAGCTTCCTTTGGTTATATACCTCTTTCTCATCATTAAGTTGAAACAAAGCCAGAGAAAATGCTATTTGTTTTCCTCAACGAGCTGTCTGCCATCCAAGATTCCTAAAGGAGCTATGCAGAGGCAACACTCCAAGGAAATACACAATTTATTTCTGCAGGGCCTTGAATCTCCATGAGGTCTCTAAACTGCAATGGATTATGAAGGAATCGGGAAGATTCCTTTTGTAAGGCCTACACCCAGGTAGCCAATTAACCTGGATCCCTTACATCCATCCCTTCAGAGTCTTTACTTATGATAGTAAAAAGAGGCCAAAAAACAGTATAATTGTGCTTCTCTTCCTATTAGTGATCTTATCCACCCATTCCATCCTTTGTTTGCACTAAACCCAACTCTGGTTTCAAAGTGGGGCAGGCCTATGGCTTCTATCAAGTGTAAATAGAAGGGAGTCCCGATCCATCTTACCACTATAGGCTTGTCAGAGGGATGGGAAAGCAGCTGCACAAAGCAGTCCAAAGGAAAGAGTCAAGGTACTTAAAGAGAATAGCTGATGTGTTATGCTCTAGGCACTGTAAGAGTTTTATAAACGTGAACCTATTTAATCTCTCTAACACCCTATAAACTAAGTAGTAGTAATCTCCACTTTGCAGATGAGGAAGCTGGTAAAAATAACTTAAATAAATTAGCCGAGGCGGTTGTACAGCTAGTAAATGGCATAGCCAAAGTAACCCAGCTCCACACTCAGAGCCAGTATGATATGCTGCCTCTCTTTGATATTAATCCAAAAGAGGCCAAGAGCCTGGAAAAAGAAATCCCTAGTTCAGAGTTGTTTATAGTCCTTTTCTTCTACTAGAAGCTGTAGTCTGTAGCACACCTTAATTGTTGTCTCATCTAAACTAGGGAAGATGGGGAGTTAAGGAGGCCTCAAAATGCTCCTGTTAGAATATGCCTTTGACTCATTGAAAGAAAATGAAGCACCTTGGGCACTAATCTGGATGCCAGTTTCAAAAATTAGTGTTTCAGAATTGAAAACACCTCTCAGCATACATTTTTGGCTTCTAGAAAATTCTCTTCCTTAATGTTAAATGAGTTAATGTTTATAAGCACTTAGAATAGTGTCTGGCACTTCTAAGTGAAAATAAAACAAATGTATTTTACTCAGCACCATACACTTATTTTCATTACTAGCACTAAGTCAACTTTATACTTGTTTTTTTCTTGTATGCACTATTCATATGTAGAAATGGTGAATCTTATTTTTTTTTTAATTTTTGTGAGATGCTAACCATGGAAAAAACCCTACAAATTATCATCAGAGATGATATTTTTACTAACATGATACAGTTTTCCTCAAGCTTTTTCTTAATATTTGAATTTTGGAGAGAAATGCAGAGGTGAACATTAAAAATATTTAATAAAATGGAAAGTCTTGTAATATATCATTGTAGTGGATCAACCTTCACAAAAAGTCTCTTTTATAATTATGATTTTATTCTGAATGAACACACTGATTAATAGGATAAATCCATGAGATAACACTGCGGAGTAATGGATGATAAGGCTAGTTCCTGAAATTAGACTTACTTTTTTAAGTCGTCTCTCTCCTTTGTCTTTGTCTGCTGGTCTCTTAGAAGCCAAGAATGAAATAGCCAGTCAGAAAAGAATAAGTCTACACATCCTTCTTTGAAATTAGGATAATAGTGTTTTCTAATAACCAGAAGTCTTGTTCGAAAGTTCATATTAACACTCAGAAGAAAAGTCAATCTGTATTAATTATGTAACCTGGGCTTACATAATTCACTGTTAACTCATAGGATAGACATTAGCCATCGTCAAAAGAAATTTATTTCATCCAACATTGTAAGTAAGCATTTGTTTAAAAAGCAAAAATACCCACTTTATTTTTGGACAATTTTATAACAATGGTTAGCCTAATGATAACATTTATGAGTTTGAAACCTCACCACCTTTCCAATGATTCACAAAGCTGAGAAGTCTTTCACATCTCCGTTGAGTTGTGGGATCTTTAAATGTTTGTCTTTCAATGGAAGTCATTTTTACAATACAGGTATCAATTAGTGGTTCTCACCTTGGCTGGGAGATTTTAAAATCTATAATATCTAAGACACATCCAAAAAGTCAGAATTTCTGTGTGTGGGATCAAGGCATCATACTTTTTTAAAGCTGCCAGGTGACTCTAATATGCAATGAAGCCATTGAACCACTGGTCTGTGTACTCTGATTTAGGCATTCACTTCACGTGGTTTTGCTCCACTGCTTTTTGATGACTCAATAAATACGCAAAGAATTTCAGCTGCTGCTTTTTCTTGGCCAGAAGAATTGAGTCAAAATTGATTAACCAAAATGATACTAGATCCAAAGCATTATCTTTTGTGCTTGCTTATTTCAAGTCTTCTAAAACAAAAGTCCATTTATTGTTTTTAAGATTGAGATAACTTTTTCATGCTTATACCTTTTACCAGATGACAAATACACTCCAATTTTAGAATGGCATCTAAAGTACACGTACACGACTTGTATTTTTGAGTACGATCAATTGTATATATCATACACCTTGAAGAACATGTGTTCTATTGTCACTTGGACAATGACTCCTGTTTTCAGTTGACTCTTTGTTACTTTGTAACATCTGATTAAATGTTACAAAGTAATCACCTCTCTTCTACTCCACTGTTTTTTTCTCTTACACATTTTTATGTTAAAAAAATGCTTTTTAATATAGATAACTCTTGCTTCTACATCTCAGTGTAAAAACATTTATTTTCTAGATATTGCCCAAATATGGCCTTGAGGAAAGTAGTAGAGATTATATATCTTTTTCTAAATAATTCATTCTTTCTTCACAATATTTCTTGTGCATATTTCTATTACCCCATCTTACTCACTAGGCTGTGAACTTGAACAGGGACAATGTTTCACTCATCTATGCATGAGTAGTACCGTTAAGCAGTACCTAATCACACAGCAGGCTCTCTCAATATTTTTTGAAATAAACTAATAAAAATTTATGTTGTCCTTACCAAAAGTGGGTATAAAATACTCTTTTAAAATTCAGATTTTAAGTGGGTATGAGTTAAGAAGTAGTGATTTTTTTTTCCTTTTTCAGGTTTGTATTTCAGCAGTCAGAAAAGTTTGCGAAAGTGGAAAACCAATACCAGTTACTAAAGATGGAAACAAATGAATTCCAAGGTCTTCAAAGTAAAATCAGCTTAATTTCAGAAAAGGTAATTATTAATTGGCTTATTTGGGGAGATTTTACCATTTTTCTTCCCCACTGCCACCCTTCTACCCCAGTTTATAATTCTTTTTTCTTGCCTTTTAGACCATTACTTTAACTCTCTGTTCTTCCTACCATTTCACATTCTTCCTTCAATCCAATTTAGCCTTAGATAACATTTTGAAAAGACAAGATTTTATGTGTGTGTGTATGTGTGTATGTTTGTGTATATATATATATATATATATACACACATATATATATAAAACAAATGTTATATATTGATGTGACCTCAATTTTCTATTTAAATATCAACTGTCTAGAGCACTGAAAATATGATTGATTCTTAGGTATAAAATTAGAATAGGAATTGCACTTGTTGAGCAAAGATCCATCAGTTTTTTTCCTTTACTTTGCACTTAGTAAACATACATATATTCGTATGCACGTAAGATTGACTAACCTAAAATAAATACTGATTTTGTAGCCAAATTAAAATTAAAATCCTTTCTATATTGTGTTTCTTCAAGCTGCAAATGCAAATACATTATTACTGTGATTCCTAGAAAAAGTGAGAAAGATTAAAAATTTTTACCTCATCTCAGGAGAGGGTGAGCTTGTAACCAATAAGGCATCAGATGGGCCTTGTCTGGCTACGAGGGACCAAGCTATCATTGGGAAACATGACTTGTTTGTTCATTTATTCATTCACTAAGCCTCTACTCATGTTATAAGGTAGACAAGGACTTGTGCTTGGCACCAGGGTAAGCAAAGGTGTTACTGAAATAGAAATAAAATAGAAGGTCTAATTTCCTGCAGACTGATGCATAGAATGAACATATAATCCCCCTAGAAGAGAAAAGCCATAAATAAAAATTATGCATCCCTTACACATGCTAGTGGGTACCATGAAGGGTGAGTTTAGGGACCTTTGGGAAGGTGCTACAAGAGTTGGTATTTTAACCTAGGGCTCAAGCTGGAATCTGATTGTAGTCATCAAGGGCCCTCTAATCAGAGCAAACATAATGTTAGAAAAGATTCCAGGAGATGGAAACTTCGTGTACTTAAATGCTATTGAAAGCAAATTCTGAAGAAAGATTTTCCTTTTTAAATGAAAAACTTGGCAGCAATTAAAATGCTTTTGTAATCAACCAGGATGTACTGTACAGCACTGGGAAATATAGCCATTAATTTGTAATAACTTTAAATGGAGTATAATCTACAAAAATACCAAATCACTACATTGTACACCTGAAACTAATATAATATAGTAAATCACCTGTGTACTTCAGTTAAAAGTAAATAAATTAAATTAAATGCCTTTGAAGCAGATATTTAAAACATCATCCTAGGATCCAAGAAATATGCAGTCTTCATATAGCTCTTTCTCCCCCAATCTGCCCTAGGAGTAGTTGAACAATAGCTGCCGCTTCATACAGCTCACTCTACAATATAGTACAATAGGAAGGGAAAACAACTAGGCACGGGCTCTTGTCACAACTGTGTGACCTTGGAAAACATCAGTTTAACTTCTCTTGATCTCTACTTCATCATTTATCAAATGAGAATAACAAAGATTTTTATAAAGATCAGATGAGATACAGTACATATGCAAACACTTTGGGAACTTTCAAGCTGTAATGAATTTAAGGTATTAACTGTTTTTCAAAAGTGAAAAACTATTAAGATACATTGGCAGCCCGCAAATGCTAACTGTTCATGTATACTAGTCATTTATTATTTGCAGACTAAATCTTGAGGCCTTTATTATCCTGAAAAGTTGATCTTGTACTTCAAGTCTACTGGCTTATCCTGCCTCCAGGTTATAGTGATGTCCTGGTGAACAGGCTAAACAGGAAAGTACCTTAGATCAAGATAAACTTGGCTCTTCAAAATCCTGCTAATAAGACAACTAAACTTAACAATATTACCAATGTACAAGTATTCCTCAGAATTGGTTTTTAAAGGAACTTCCATTATGGCTACATGTGTACATTAACAATAATTTTTAAACAAGGATTCAGAGTGATGCTATTATGCATTGTCCCGGCTATCACCTAGAACTGCTTCAGGTCCTGATGGGGGTGGACCCAGAAGGTTTCTGGCCATTCTTCGTCCTAAACATCAAGAAACATGTTCTTTATAACCCTGAGATACGGGGACTACAAAAAGACATAAGACATGGCCTCTTCCCTTAAGGAATTTAGAAGTCTCTTATCTTCACCTGGTTAATTTATCAGTCTGTTAGAGTCAGATTTCAGAGTCATTTCTAAGCCTCCTTGTTGCGCTCCAGACTTCTGATCTCTCCTCTAAGCATGCATTCTTGTACAAATCCTGCCATCACCCAAATCATAATCTATTCTGATTTTTTTGTTGTTGTTAATTCATCCAGCTTTTTTACTGCTCTCTAGAGCAAATGCTGTCTGTGTCTTTTATCTCTGTATCCCTAGTGCCTAATAATGGAACACAGGACACTCAATAAATCTTATTGGGACTCTAGAATATTTGATGTAAAAGATCCAAAACACTATCTCCCCTATCAGATTGTGAGGTCAGGGACTATACTGTATATTTTTACATCTAGTATCTAGCACAGAGTGAACACTCAAGAACTTGAATGATAAGTGCCAAGTGCCAAGTAAGTGGCAAATATGTAATACAATAGGTGCTGTAGGACTTCAGGCTGTCAGGGCGAGGGCTATGGAAGAATGTTGCATGAGGAATGAGACCTGGTCTGAGCCTTGAAGAGAGAACAGAACTCAGCTAGGCAAAAAGGAGGGAAGAATAGCATATCATGGAATTTAGGAAATTAAATTTTATAACTAAATTAGTTTCTTAAAAAGCTGAATAATCATAAAAATGACAACTAAATTGCTTTCTGTTAGAGTAAAAAAAAGAAGGAAAGATCATTTTCTTTTAAGATCATTTTCTCTTTTATATATCCATTCATGAAAATGCACAAATATTTAGGATTATAAATTCAGGTGTATACAGTCAGCTCTCTGTGTCTCCAGGTTCCACATCCAAGTATTTAGTCAACCACAGATCAAAAATATATGAAAAGAAAAAAATCCAGAAAGTTTAAAAAAGCAAAACCTGTGTTTGCCGTGTACCAGCAACTATTTACATAGCATTTACATTTATTAGATATTATAAGTAATACAGAGATGCTTTTAAGTTTATGATATGCAAATACTACACCATTCTACACCATTTTATATGAGGGACTTATCCATGGATTTTGGTATCCATGAGGATACCAATCCCCAGCAGGTGGATGCCGAGGGATGAGGGACAATTGTATTTTTCTATCATAGCAGGAATCTATTAAATGTGCTTAATATATGTTAAAACAGTATTAAAGTAATAATTGTTTTTGTCAGTATGATTCTGATATCCTTGGATATTTTAGACATCTTCAGAATTTGAATTTGGCACGTGATTGTTAAAGTGTGTTTCCCTAATATAAAAGTTATTAAGTAGCCTTGGGAATTGTTTTGTGTTATAAATACAGCTTGAGTCTACTGAAAGTATCCTGCAGGAAGCTACATCATCCATGTCTTTGGTGACCCAGTTTGAGCAGGAAGTATCCAACCTCCAAAGTATCATGCATGACATTCAAAATAGTGAAGAGATGCTCACTCAAAAGATGCAAAGCCTTAATGAGAAATTCCAGAATGTTACAGATTTCTGGAAGAGAAGCCTTGAAGAAATGAATGTTAATACAGACATTTTTAAATCAGAATCAAAACATACACATTCTCAAGTTACTGCCCAAATTAACTCAGCTGAACAAGAAATAAAATTGCTCACTGAAAGGCTAAAAGATTTGGAAGATAGCACCCTAAGAAATATTAGAACAGTAAAAAGGCAAGAGGAGGAGGATCTTCTGCGAGTAGAGGAACAGCTTGGCTCTGACACAAAAGCAGTTGAAAAGTTAGAAGAGGAACAGCATGCTCTCTTTGCCAAAGATGAAGACCTGACTAGTAAACTTTCCAGCTACGAACCCAAAGTTGAAGAATGCAAGACACATTTGCCAGCAATTGAAAGTGCTATTCGCTCAGTTCTCAGAGTCTCTCAGGATCTGATAGGGACAGAAAAGAAAATGGAAGACTTGACTCTTCAGATGTTTAATATGGAAGATGATATGCTGAAAGCAGTATCTGAAATAATGGAGATGCAGAAAACCCTTGAAGGAATTCAGTATGATAACAGCATATTAAAGATGCAGAATGAACTGGATGTTCTTAAAGGAAAAGTTCATGATTTTATAGTATATTCAAATACAAAAGAAAAGGAAACTCTAGAAGACTATAATCTAGAAAATAAAGGAATTGATACTGATTTTTAAGTGCACTACATTTATTCTGATGAACCACAGTATTATACTTAAATAGATTAGTTCCATGCTTTTGTGTTATTTTGATATGCCTCACTTTATCCTACGTTATTGGAAAATAAGTGAGATGTCCACACAAATGGATTATCCAGACGGTCAAAGCTTTTTAAGCAATAAAACATTTCATTTTAACCCTTTTAAATGTAAATATTTCTAAAATAGGTATTTCTCTACTTTTTTTAAAGCAGTATACTTGATATTGTCAATGTTTTTCTAATAATCAATGGGTATCATTATGAATTTCATCTGTTATATTGGACCCAAATATAATATCTCTAGGAGCTATAGAGTATTTACCTCCCAACTCAGTGACCCTAGTTTGCTACTTTTCAAATCTTTATCTATTTCTTATACCTTTCTGTCACCTGGAGAGGTGACCCACTCACCTGATCTTATTGTCAAGTTGGTTGGTAATGTGCCCGTGGAGGCCAGTTCTTCATTTCTTTGCAATTTACTGCAGGCTAAGAATCCAGACAACCAAGTTCATAGGAATTTTGTCTAAAATAAAAGATAATATGCCTCAGGGAGAGCCTGGGGTGCTCTGCTATGAATTAATATGCACTTTTTGAAAACTATTGAGCCTGGGAAACTTTTACTTTTTGTTAAGGTTCTAAACTGTGTTATAAATACTTATAAGAAATTTTTAAAAGAGTAAATATGTTCTTTTTGGAGGTTTTCCCCTATGAATTAAATGTGTATGCTTTGACGTGTGAACCTTAGGAATATCTTTGTATACTTGGCCTTTTTTTTTTTTAAGTTCTGTGTTACAGACTCTACAGAGTTTGCTAGGTACATGATCTCTAGATAAGTTATTCTACATACAATAAAAATACACCAGTAAGCCTGTGCCCTATTTTAAATAGGAAAAAGCAGCATAATTAGAAATGATGTGATGATTATGAGAATTAAAAATATGTTATTATTTTAAAGAGTCCCTAAATTACCCAATCAAATTTGTTTTACATAGTGATTTTATTTTATACAAAATTATGTAATGGAGTCATGAGGAGTAAGACATAGACATACTGAGATGTGATTAAAGGGATCTCTGCCAGATTTTTACAATAATGGTAATTGGAAATGTGCAGGTTTAGGGGCACACAGAAGGCTTTTATTGGTATACTGATGTATGAAGAGTGCCCAGGGTTAGTGTTGGAAACTGAGTTAACTGCAAATGGAAGCGCTGTTGTTATCTGTTTCTTCTCGCCAACGACCAACTATAGTCTCAGTTTTATAATGCAGTTTCAGTGGAATTAAACACAAAGAACTTGAATTTAGCAGTCAGCTACAAAAGGTAGTTGTGGTCAGGTGGTGGTATGTAAATTTGCACGTTTTTTGAAAAATCCCAAACAAGTTCTACTTTGGGGTTAGGAACGTCTATGGTAGACACCCGTGGGCCATAAAAATAGACCTGAAAGAGTGCCGCTACTGGGGGCACAGCATTCATTTCTGGAATTTTAACATTAGATCTTTTGACTTCTGAATAGCTAAGTTCTTGTCTGTGCACTGACAGAATTGTATTTGTTTACCTTTATTTTCATGCCAATAAAATAAATTATAAAGTTAGGTGGGACTTTGTTGCTTCAGCCTCCATCCTGTAAGGGCAGACGTGGTCTCTTGGCACTCTTCACTTTTATTTATTTATTTATTTTGGCCTGTCACCAGATTTGATGCATTATCATTATTAACTTGGGTATGTACCACAGTAAAGGTTATAGAAAATACGTGGAAACAAGGTGGCCACTGTGCTCTATAGTGACAGTTACAAAGGAATCAAATACTGCCGCTCTGTAAGTATCCCATAAGAAAATCTTGTGTGTATATTTGTACAGATGTATATATTCCTTTTTTTTAACATTTTTTATTGATTTATAATCATTTTACAATGTTGTGTCAAATTCCAGTGTTCAGCACAATTTTTCAGTCATTCATGGACATATACACACTCATTGTCACATTTTTCTATGTGATTTATCATAACATTTTGTGTATATTTC